GCATACTAAGGATGACTGTAAAATCATATTGAAATCAGAGGATTGGAGACTGTTGGGCTATAAACAAAGATTTGATTATCACAAAAGTGGAAATTTTAGAATTTATTTTAAGTATCAAGACATTTGTTTAAATTCTTGAAAAAGTTTGGCATATTTTAAGAGAAATTTTTTTAAGAGGGGGCAGGAAATTTCCGAGTTCCACTGATGAAAACTTTCTATTGCTTGTATTTTGGCCTGATTGTTCATGGACAAAAAAACGTACATGTATGTCATATTGTTTTTATGCAGTCCATGAAAATTGGAGTTACTCATCAATCTGATCATTTAGCTTGATTGACTTGCTTAGCCATTTCCTGTACTTTAGTCATTTTACAGTTAGTTATTAGGACGTTTGGCTTCAGCTTGTAGGAAATCTTCATTTTATTCCCCTTTCCCAAATACACCATAGCCGCACAAATAGATTGTGTTTAGTATTACTGGTTGAAGTGCGTTGAGGTGGTGAGGGATTTGGGTGAAAAATTCCTCGCATTGTTTGCAATTTAGTGTGATTTATGTTTTGGCTCATTTGATAGATTGTTTCATACTCGTATAATTTCTTTTGCTTTGTTCTGTTTTCATTTGAAATATCCATTTTTTGGAGGGGAATTTCTTCTCCCGTTTTTCACTCTGAAATGAAACACAAAGTGCTCGTGTTACCGTTCTGCCTTTTACTGTGCCTTAAAAACATTGAAACGCTTGTGTTGTTGTATTGCCCAAAGGCATACTTTGCTCTCTTTATATTTTTATGCATTTTTGTCAAATTTGAGGTTCTTTTTGGGTGCTGTTATATTTTTGCATAGTGAAATTTATTACCAACTGCAAATTCTAGGCGTAGAAAAGCTGTCACTTTACCAAAAAGCTGCTTAATGTTTATTTTATGCATGGTTAGAAGTTTGGACTAAAAAAGGACAGAGAATATGAGAACTTTAAGCAAAGATATATCTTTTTGGAAAATTAATTTTGTATAGTTGTGTTTGGTAACTGTATGTATATATTTGCCAACGTTTCTTTCGGACAATTCTTTGTACTTAATAATCAGTACAACTAAATAAGAAACAATTTCCAGTAAAATACGTTCAGTACTTGAAGAATTTAAAGTATGTCACTTTGTTGTCCGTGAGATTTTTTATTAACCAATTATTGATTATAATAAAATGCACTTGCATTTAGTACCAGTAAATAAGACCACATTGATTCGACTTAGGCAGGATGTCACCCAATTGTTCAATTGCACACCCTGCATTTGGGGCAGAATCTCCTGTGTGCAGGTTTGGTCTTGACGTTTATTGTGACAGATCACCAGGATAAAAGACACGCCTGGAAGTGTGGAATGGTCAGCAAATAATTAGCCAAACGTTTTCTTTGATCAGAGAGCTAGGCCGTAGCGTGGTTTGATATAGTTCAGAGCAATTAATGTGTATTTAAAACTAGTTGACGCATTCAGTTTCATTCCAGTGACTGCAAGCACTGGGGAGGTGTTATCTCTAGAAACACAATGTTTACGTTCGTGTATTGCTTGCAAAAGGAAAACTAAAACGATAAGTCTTCATTATGTATGCGAAGGGACGCTATGCGGTGGGCCTGCTGCAATACGTGCATTCTTTGACTTAAGGCGCGCGTGCATTTTGGCAAATCACGGCATCCTATTGGTTGAAGAGGCAGATAACGCGCGCGTACCACCTGTCCACAAGCGTAATCCGAGTCAGCTACTGCCCGCATGCAGCCGGCTTCCACTTCCAGTCGCCAGATAGGCTAGCTACTCAAAATTATCAGATGAGTTAATGTCTTTACGCGCAATTATTATGTACCTGTCAGTTAATTTAATTTGAATGCTGCTTGATATATTGCTGCCGTCGGGATACAAAATTACTTCTTAGGCACGCATAAATTACAGCATATGATATTCCTTATTATCCGGGATTGTTCGGTTTCTTTTTATGTTAAATTCACTTCAATATATTATATTTTGAATAAAATTTTACGTTACCAGTTTTTGTTCTTAAGAAACACTTTAGCAGAATAACTGAATAAACATTTCGAACTTTCGTCAATTCCCGACACTATGCATGATTTGGAAACATGATGGGAATATTCTTTCCTTCCTCCACCTTTTGTTAATATGATACAAGATAAGGGCAAAGAATGGGGCCAAGAGGGTGTGCCCGCCCCCCCATCCCCCAAAAAGGCCCCGAAAATTCATTTGAAATCAGTCGTAAAATGTAACGTCACTCTCAGAGAGGCCGAAAAAGTGAGAGCAAAACTTTTCAAATGTTAGCCCCCCCCCCCCAAAAAAAAAAACTGGTTTGGCCCCCGTCCCCTGAAAATTGGGTTCTGAATCTGCCGTTGCTGTTCGGCAGTTCCAGCCCGTGTTCACTTTAGAAAAGTTATCTCCCCATGGACCGAACTTTGTCAGTGCCGCCCTCTTGCGTTCTTTGTGTTATCCTAGACTGGTGCTTAGGCCGAAATAGGATTTTAACATAATGTAGGCTTAGGAATCAGACAAGTGTTATAAAAAGCGGAATTTTCAAAGTTTGCTGTGGTAGAACTAGAAGTTTAAATAGACCCAAAGATTGTATAGCGCGGCGCTATACAATCTTTGGTTAGAACCGGAACCATACATAGACTGAAAGCTAGACATGCTAGACCAAGGAACAGATCTAGATTGAATAAAGCCGTAGGCTAGCTATAGGCCTATGTACGTCACTGTTTAGAAGATTGTGCAACAAGAAATGACAGGAATCTAAAATGGATGGCAGAGAACCTACCTAGTGTTGGTATATTTAGGCGTCAGAATCTGTCTCATCGAGGGAGATACAAAAATGAAAACGCGTCGTCTACGACAAAGTCAAAGGTAAAGTACAAATTAATGACATGAATGATGAATGATCAAATGATGCAGCTAGGCCTACATACATCTACGTAGTTACACTGTCGTGATTTGTAGGCCTACTTTCCCTGGCCTTGGTTTGGTCAGATGATGGTGCATTTTAATGGGTCGCCGATCCATAATTCCTGTTTTTAGTGCAATTATTTGTATATACTTATATAGGTGTATGCTGTTAGCTGGTTAGTGTATCAAGCATGTCAAGTGTAGCTTTACTCTGTATACGTGCATGGTCAATGTCTGATTTTTCGTGGGACTGAAAAAATTTCTGAAAGAGTTCCATGTACGGACCCCAGTACCCGTTAACCATCAGAAATCAAAAACTCGTCTAGAAAAGTTCAATTTGTGAGGGAAAATACCGAGTTGTTTACTTACATTTGTTACAATCATGACAATGTAGATAACACTTTTAAAATGTTTCAGACCAGTCTTGTAAAGTTGTAGGGTTTGTGCACAGTGTGTTACATGTAAGTGGCGCCTGCACATGGAACTCTTTCCAAAATTTCCTTCAACATGATCAGTGACACTCAGTGTTCACACTAGGCCTGCCACTATTGCATGTGATAGATTGTTGTTAGTGGTTTCGTTCGTTTTGTTCTATAAGTTATAACTTCTAACATGTCTAATGTTTGCTTGACATTGCTTGTACTCCTGCTCCCAACATGCCGAAGCCAAATGCGGACGTGTCATGGCGACTTTCTATGTTAGGGCAGGGGATTACTCAATCTAATTAGGACAAATGTAGCTGTAGGATCCAGCAGGTTCAGTTTATGGGAGGTATTTCAATTTATTGGAAGAAAGGAAATATTCAAAAAAAATGGTGTAATATCTGAACATGAATATGGCACTTGAGGTTATCGTGACCATCATTCTTGCCTTTACATATTTATCACTACGCCACACGGTCACATACCGGTACATGTACGTTTATGTGCACGGTGTAATATGTATACGTGATGTATTCATTATTAAAAAATATAATATACATGTTACGTACGTAAATGTATGGCCATATGCCGTGCTATCTATTTAACAGAAAATAGAATGGGACTATTTTATGGCAAAATACTGTATACATGTACGTTTCACTCATGTGTTATGGAAGGCTCTACACCGAAGTTTAATTGTGAAATTTCTTTAATTTTATTCTTTTCAGATGCCAACTATTGAAGACTTCACCATTCTCAAACCCATAAGCAAAGGAGCGTTTGGGTAAGTACATGTGTGTTGATACACCTGCGTACGTACAGTGCTAACGGTGCATGTACGCTGTACATATATGGGCGATTCCAGAAATTAGGAGTCCAAAAGTGTGACATTTTTGTGTCCCTGTTACATCTGACCTTTGTTATTTGACATTGAACTTCGAAATTGATTTCAAACTATTACTATTTGTTTGGCAGGTAATTTGCATTAATTCATCACTCTTGTGGAAATTAGAAAATGTGTTCTGAACTTACAAAAATCATATGTCAGATGTGACAGGGACACCCCAAACAATGGACCCCTAATTTCTGGAATTACCCATACAAGAAAACATCACAAGCAGGGCCTATAGGACTAAGAGCATGGTACATGTACATGTACACGTTGAGTTAATCAGAAAACTAAATGAGAATTCAGACCCTTTTTTGGTGACAGGTTCATTATACGTGTACATATATACATTTATAAATGTGTCTTTCAGGAAAGTCTACCTTGGAAAACGAGCAGACAGAGAGGAACTCTATGCCATCAAAGTTATGAAGAAATCCGAGATGTTACACAAGAATATGGTCCAGCAGGTGACTGCGGAGAGAGATGCGCTGGCTTTGTCTAAGAGTCCCTTCATTGTCAGATTATACTACTCCATCCAAACAACAAAATTCATTTACTTGGTGAGTATTTGGGCACACACTCGTTAGTCAAATGTACTTGGTTATGTGGACTATGCACCTACTGAAACACAGATGTACAGATGTACATGTAGATGTTATGGGGACCAGAAAATGCTATGCTGACACCTTTTTGTCCCAACAATGCAGCTGTTACTTTCAAACAAATCGTAGATTAGAAGTATTACACCTTCACCCCTTACCCACAAGACGTGATCTTAAGTTACCCAACCACCACTTCATTACTTGTACAGTCTACATGTCTTGGGCTGTAAAGTTTTCATTTTCTTTCTTTCAAAGTGACAGTGAATAATAGCAGGTGATTCAGGCCGGGACCAGCATGACCACCTGACATCACATCAGCCACCATTACATCATCACCAACAACATTGATATCATGCAATGTATTTTTCATTGATATGAAAGTTGTTTTTCCTTTGTAGGTGATGGAGTATTTGATTGGTGGTGATCTCAAATCTCTGCTTCATGTCTGTGGTTACTTTGATGAGTCGATGGCAGTGATGTACACAGCAGAGATTGTACTTGCCTTGGAGTATCTGCATAGCCACAGCATTATACACAGGTCAGAGGTCAAATATTAAACCAACCTCTAATCTACAGGATGCTTCCTCCATCTTTTTCTGTTCCATTCAGGCAGTTGAAGTTTAAACATTTTTCCATATCTTTGACTTACACGTATAACCCATTTGCATGCACCAAGATATAACTAACTCTTTTTCTGGTAATGTTCATTGTTTCAGAGATTTGAAACCTGACAATCTTTTGATAGCCAATGATGGCCACATCAAGTTAACTGACTTTGGACTCTCACAAATCACACTCAACAAAAGTAAGTACATGTGTCAGTGTTGTCTTGGATAATGCAAGTCAGTGTAACACTAGTTTCTTTTGCCTTACATGCATAACAGAGTTGAATAAGCTTTACTTTAAAAGATGCCAGAATGACACGTGTAGTCGCAATGATTTTCTTTCTCTGACTTACTCTATTTGGAGTTTTACTGATCAGTTTTTATCTTCCTTTACTCTTCACACAGATGATAAATAAGAGGATCTTCAGCTGAGGAGTAAATGTTAGGTGTTTACCAAATCAAACTGCTAATAAAACTGATAAGATCATTGATATGGACGGTGTCATCATTTTGGGTGATACATGTATATAATTTTATGTGTCCTTATTGCAGGAATCAGTGTAGCTGACATCATGAGCACTCCATCAGTTCCTAAACGTGGATCCATTGACCTCTATCGCACACCAGGCCAACTCCTCTCCCTCACAACTAGCTTTGCTTTTGTGAGTAATTGTTGGTGTCTTTTAAATTTCCACTTGAGATAAGCAATGGTGATTTCAGCTTACAATGTCAGCAGCTGTAGATTAATGTGAAATGCATCTCATCAGTTAGACTTGAAACCTCTCTTTAGATCAGCTGAGTTCTTATTTTTGCTACCCACTATTGCCTCTGGAAATGAACAAAAGTAAATGTGCTCTCTGTCTTAGATTTAGTTTTATTTTTTTACTGACAGCTAAGATTAAGTCGCTAGTCTGATAATTATTTCTGTCAACGTGTCAGTCAGTTAATCATATCTTTCAAGGTGTCAATTAGTTAATCATTTCTGTCAAGGTGCCATGAAGGGCATCATGACATCTAAAGCACATGTTTGAATAGTTTAGTGGGATTGATATTTTGGTGTTGTACTTTTTATGTTAATTAAAATTGTCCTTTCCTTCTTCATCTTTCACAGAATCAGCCTTCCACAATGAAGAACAGATCCCAAGAATCTCCCCACTCCACACCACTCACTGCACTGGGAAACAAACCCCTGTACAGGCCACTGTCACCCCAAGAGAGACGAGATAGATCCAACAGCTACATCAGCTTGATAGAATCCCCATCCCCTGTTGCCCCTGTGATAAATGTGACTGATGATGAATCCAGGTCAAAGGTTACTGAAAAATCACATGTGAAAGGTCATGAGGGTGAGGTTGAAGAACCAAGTCAAGGCAAACAGGTTGACAGTGTTTCAGGTGTGAAGGGTCACCGTCTAGAGAAGGAGAATAGAGCGGGGCTTATAGAGACACCACTAAATACAGGAAGTAGGCGGAGACTAGGAAAGGGGAAGGAGGGTGTGGCTGGGAGTGGATCTGTCCCTATTGCTAAGAGGTACCTTGGTGAGAGTTCAGTGGCACCTGTAATGAACTTGGCCTTTGAGCATGCTGAGAGTAAAACCTCACCGATAGCATCACCTGATCTAGGGTATGATAGTAGAAGTTCACCTAGGAGCAATGATGGGTCATCTTGTGGTAGAGTCAGTGGTTTAGAAGCTGGTAGTGATGGCAAAGTTGTTAAACACGCACCAAGTCCAAAGACCATCACATCATCTACTCCACTAACTTCTCCCAACCTTGCTGGAGATCAACACTCTACACCTGATGGGGTTGGACACCTGGATGCTTCTAAGTCACCAAAGGTATCAACTGCAGATTGTAATGATGGAGGGTCAAGCTCTCATTCTAAGAGAACTTACAGCACTGACAGCGATGAGTTTGAGTCACGTAAGAGTCCTGAAATTACTCGTGGAAGGATGTTAAGCTTTGGATCTAGTGATATGCCTCGACCGCTTGGTACAGGTGCAAGGAAACGCAAATACTCCCAGTTATCAGAAATTAGTCCTGTTGGGGAAAGAGAGATTGTCATAGGGGAAAGGCATACAGGCTTGACCATGGAAGTCAGCGTCATGGGACTTGCTGGGTCTATCCCAAGTAATGATGCAGCCAATAGATCAATATCATCAAGTCTGACATCTTCACTCAATGAAAGTCTTGAAGAGTCTTCAGACATCAGTAGGTGTTCAGACAGTGCAACTGACATCAAAGCTAAGAGAACGAAGCGTAATGTTAGCTTTGACTTAGAAGGTGGACGTGAAGAGTTGACAGCACCATTGTTAGTACGTCCTCGACTGAACACATACCTGGAGCAAACAGCTAAGATGGAAACATTTCAAGAGGAGAAATCATTGGATCAATCAGATGGCAGTATGGATGAGAACGATGAACACTCTACCAATCAATTACCACATCTACCTACATGTATGTCATGTGATAATGACGTCATCGCAGATTGGGCTGATAAGAAGCCAACCAGGACCCCTTACAGGGTAAGTTAATGTTCTGCTTTAAATGATCCATGAACTGTAACAAAGGAGAAATTTATGAATTACCGTACTATTATAGGGGACAGGTTTATATAGAGATTCTGGGATTAACAGGTGTCGTGTACCTGACCAAAAACATAAATGGGAAACATGATTCATGTACATGGAAGTCTTCTAGTGTTTCAAAATTTGGTTTAGTCGTACATGCATTGTTTCTCCACTTGTCAATGTTGCCTTTGCACACAGTCTCACAGTGCAACACCAGCTGCAAGTAAATCCACCTTCAAGACCCCAGCACATACCTCCTTCCGAACCCCAGCTTGCACCCCATACAGGACCCCTAAGAGTGTGCGCAGAGGACCTCCCCCAGACGTGGCCCACCCTGAAAGAATTCTAGGTACTCCGGATTATCTAGCACCAGAATTACTACTCCGGAAACCACATGGTGAGTTCCGTTGTTAGCCATTGATCTACATGCACAATGTATGTTCATTCAGCAGAATTACATGTACTCTTTGCTTATGTGTGCTTCAAGAAGCTTCTGAATATGATCCCACGTAGCCAAGTTTTGTTTTTGGATTGACAGGTGTTGGCGTGGATTGGTGGGCTTTGGGTGTGTGTTTCTTCGAGTTCTTGACTGGCATACCACCATTCAACGACCAGACACCAGACCTGGTCTTCCAGAATATCCTGAACAGAGGTAGTCTCCAGTTTGGATTTGTATTCCCCTGGAAATTTGGGCAACCAATTGTACTTGAAAATGCTTAACTGCTTTCATTTAAGCTGTGCAATTAAAGGCAATAAAGTTGTGGGACCAACCGACGTACTGTACAGGTGTGCAATAAACCTACCTGCATGCGCACTCAATGTAAGAAAAACATTTTGTGCAACAGGGTGATGGCTTAAACCATATGATTCATTTGTACTTAAGAACAATCACAGACTGAGAGATTTTAAACTGGCATTGTCATATAAAGTATGCAACAAGCATTGAATAGTAGAACCTGCTTACTATTATGAAAGTGGGTCTGTGTTATCATTGAGTGTCTTATCACTAATGCTGCTTGCACCATTGATTTATTCAAGTCATCATATTGCTATGGTTACACTTTTAGACATTCCATTGCCAGAGGGGGAAGAGGCTTTGTCCAGCAATGCTTTGGATGTAATTGAAGTCATTACATTGCTATGGTTATGCTTTCAGATATTCCTTTGCCAGAAGGGGATGAGGCTTTGTCCAGCAATACTTTGGATGTTATTGATCGTCTTCTTACCATGGACCCTGAGCAAAGGGCTACAGCAAAGGGTAGGTAGAGTCTGGATTGGGTCCTGTTGTCTGTGGCTATGGCTACTCTCTGCAGCATACTAATGGCAAATGTTTATAGACCAAACCTCAAGAGTCTTCAAGATATCAATTCAGATGCAGCTGTGTGCCTAAAAACTGTGCTTCAAGAAAAGAATGATTGGATGTTTGAAAGTGTGTGAACTGTTATGCCGACATACAAGTAATGCGTTGCAAAATGCCTCAAACTAAAACCACTGCTCAACTTTTACGAATGTTACAGTTCAACTTGTGTTTGGGTGGAAGTGTGAGAAATTGTGAACTTCCAAAACCTGAGATGCTGGCTTGGTGCTGAAGATTTTCACTTAAAAGGAAACTCTGTCGAAAGACACAGAAAGCATAATGCAGTTTGAATGCATGCTCAGGTCTTTCAACTCAGGAGTGAGATTTCTCAGCTTTTTAGCTGATTTCAGCTTTTCTGTTTGGGATTTCAGCTTTTTTTTGGCTCACTGGCTGTGTAGTAGTAGGAGATTTTCACAGTTCAGCTTTTTTTGTCTTTTTTCAGCTGTTTTCAGCTATTTTTATCATTGGTCAATCTCATCCCTGTTTAACACACCTGTCTCTGATATTTTTGGCTGATCCCATCCCCTCAGATTTGAAGCCCCACGCTTTGTTTGACGGCATTGATTGGTCACATATCCGTGACACTGAAGCCCCTTTTATTCCAACACCAGATGACAAGACAGACACAACATACTTTGATGGTAAGTGTCAGTCATGGATTTTAGCCATTGCATCTTGCCTTTGATGTCACAAAAAACATGAATTTGATATCTGACAGTGTGTCTTTATGCCCTCCCCCTCGGGACATGAGGGGACTGGTTTATATTTATGCGTTTTACCTTCAAAAACAATGAGTTCTATACATTCTTCAGCCCCTGTCCAATCTCTTTCTCAAAAAATGAATATTTTTGGTGTCACTATGGTGGCAACTTTCTTCAAACAATTGTTGGTCTTTTCTTTTTCAGCTCGGAACAATATGCAACATCTTCAGATGTCATCATTTGCACTCTAAGCTCCTTAATACTCCAACTGAATGGAGGGAACATGACCTGATCAATGCAAAATGTTCTATGAATACAAGACCAACTCAAATTGTCCCTTTCTAAAAATCTCATCAGATTACTTAGCCTAGCTGTACCTGTGGATTTATAACCCAAGATGTATGACATTTCTATTCACTGATAACAATAATTACCTAAATTAGGTTATTTATGACTAGTAGATACATGTACTTGGAGAGAGAATTACATTTCATTCTACAAATGTTTGGATTTGCCAATAAACATTTTTATGCTACGGACAAATTTCGGGCGGGGGTTGTCAGGAATGACACTAGGATGTCAATAACAGGCACCAAATATATTTTTTAAATAATTTGTGATCTTTCCAATTAAAAATAAACAATTATTTACTTCTGAATTCACCAGAAAATGAATTAAGACTATAGGAGTGATTCTCTTTTGCCGCACAGCTCTGTTGCTCTAATGTTAATTAGATGTTGAGGACAGTTGCATATGAGCCAAAAAAAAGTGTTCCTGCTTGATATGGTTGATGTACATGTACCTGATTTTTTTTGAGAATTTGATAAGCAAATCTGCTTACAGTTTTTGTTAACGGTTTATTTTAAATCAAAAATGCTTCTGAAAGTACATGTAGGATTACACAGGTGTACATGTAGGCCAAAGATAAAGTAAAGGCTAAATATTTTGCAAACTGTATTTTGTAAAGATAATGCAGAAGAGTTTCAGTTTCGGTGAGTATATCATTTTTCTTTTGGTTAGAATTACCGGTACTTGAACAAGTACATGTACAATCAATTTGAAACTGAATCATTGACTCAGCATATGGTTAGTCTACATGTGTACGTGTATATCAGTACAGTGTACATGTATATTGTATGGCTGCGGAGAGTCATCTCTATCGGGTCAAAGTTTAACCTTAACCTACATGTAAACTGCAAATACTTTCCACTGAGATGTGTACATTATTACATTTTGTCAAATGTGAGGGGAAACTATTAATTTAAGTGACAATTACGGATGTAAAGTTTTGAAATAAAAATTAGAACCAGAATCTTCAAGTGAACTTGGAATTTGCTCCATACAAACTACATATACTGTTACGTGTAGCCTTTATGGGTGATCATCCCTGTCTGGTCATGGTACAAATCAATCAACATCAAAGAAATTAAAAGAATACAGATTAAAGCAAAGAACTCAGCCGTGGTTATGGAACTTTTGGAGCATTTTTTTTTATTAAAAAAAGGCAAGTGAAGACTTCACAGAAGTACTATGGCTCTATATAAACTGCAAATGAAATTGAATATTATCACATAGTGATTCAGAACGTTCTTTTATGTCATTTAGTGCTACCTTTAGGCTTTAGGTACCTGTAGGTGTGTATATGATAAAACTCTTCAACAAGGTGAAATTTGTTCTTGTGAATGTGCATACAATGTAGGACAGGTTCTGAAATTCCATTTTATTGGTTTTTTCATACAACCTTATCAATGACTTGATGACAAGCTTTTGTACATGTAGCTTAAGTGTACATGTAACTGTATTTGGTGACATCAACATACCATCAAGCATATTTTTACAAACAGAAACTATATAACATCAGGTACTGTAAGATTTCTGTAGGAGCTTGTCATCCAGGTCATACCAGAGAGAAAGCAATTCAATTTGTAAATGAATTCTGAGCACTTCAACCCATTGGGTTACCAAGCATAACTGGGTGAGTTAACAAGGAGTGGTTTTCTCCCATTGGATATACATTACATGTGTTAGATTTTTTCAGTTCTTTCATTGTTGGTGAATAAAGACGCCAGAGTTGTCTTCTACATGTATGTGCATGGATAGAAGATGGCTGTGGTGTGTAAGTTCTGTTAGTTCCGTCAGACTGTAGAGAAGCTCTCATGTTCATTAACTAAGAACAAATTTAAGGTACTTTAAATCAAGGGAGCCAGTTCAGGTGTTAAGATTAACACCTTCATACACACAATTAACTACTCTCGGCGGAGTACTATTTACATATTCACTCATCATAGAGGGTGTACATTACACTCAACTTATTACCGCCATCAATTTATGCTAAGCACATTACTTTCAGCATATTACTGCAATCGGCTTATGCTAAGCACATTACTCTCAGCAATATGCTAAGCACTTTTAGTGAACAAACTCTGATTGACAGGAACATTTCAAGTTGAACAACTGTCACATGATAAGCTGTGGTCCCCTGTACCCTGGGGATGGGGTACATTACAGCTGTGGTACCCTGGGGATGGGGTACATTCCAGCTGTGGTACCCTGGGGATGGGGGTACATTCCAGCTGTGGTACCCTGTACCCTGGGGATGGGGTACGTTACAGCTAGAATTGTTAATCAGATGAGTCCACAGATGAGTATGCACCTCAACCATTTAGTTAATCTAACTTTTGTTCACAATACTTGTATGTGTTCATTCTTAGTGAAACAAAATTCTTGGGCCCATTCCTATGGTTTTATTCAACAGATGTTTTCCTATTGATAGCTTCTATCTTATCAGAGATTAAACTTTTAAGCAAAATACAGAAAATGTAAACTTCAGAATCATAATGGGTTGAAAACAGAAACGCAATAAAAATAATCTAATTATTTTACTTTTGCGTAGTACTGTATTGGCAAATAGCAATTTGTACAGCAAGAAAAATACACAGTCCAGGTTTGCAATAAACATGTGAGATACAAAAATTGTCTCTCCAGTTAGAAATCCCAGTCTGATTTGTACTTGCAGCTAGCTTTTCCAGAAATTGGTGTTTTGTGTCATTTTCCTCTTGAAGTTTTCATACCACTGGTTGAGTACAGTCAGTGGCACCCAGGTGACGTCAGGTTGAGAAGTCATATGAGCTTGAGTGATGCCAAAAGATGAGGCATAATTGTAAAAGTTCTCTAACATTTTGGTTGTAAATTCAGCAAAGTTACTCATATTGGATGTCTGTAAAGAGAAACACCAAAAAAAGGAAAAAAACTGGTGAAAATTTAATGCAAGGGGCTAGTTAACGCCAAACTAGGAATTAAAACTTCTTTGTACACATGTAAAAAGGTTAAGCCAAGGCAATTGGGCAACCTCATAAAATAAATTTTTGAAAAGGCTAAAGAAACCTTGGAACTTCTTTAATATCTCTAAACTCACCATCAAATTTGATGGTCCTGACATGGCTTAATAACTTCCTTTAAAGTCTGTGAATAAGTGTCACAAAGTAAGTGAAGAGCTACACATATGCCTCCTGGGTGTTATTGTTCAATTCTTTCCAGAGAGAGCTAAAAAGAATTAGATATTGGATGGGACCTAACCATAAACTTTGGCCCAATCTAAATATGGCAACTGAGCTGATCAGTCTCCCTTAGACAGGTAACTCTGTCCTCCAATGTGGCTCCCTCCAAATGAAATGTCCACGAGTTCCTACCTGTGTGTTTTCAGCTGGTATTTGTTGAGCTATCTGAGTTATTGGTTCCACAGCAATACCAATCTGTGACATGGTGTTCATCTGTTGACCTTGTTGAATCACTTGCATGAACGGGTTGTCATTGGAAATGCTCCCTGATATACCAAAGTAAAAAATAAAGGTTAAAGAGAAATATCAGACAGGTGTACATTAGTGTCTGGTAACCAGTGAGTATTGCTGTCATAGGAATATATTTTTGCTTGTAAAGGTATGTGTAAACCATAAATGTAAATCCCACATTGAAAAAAGCAGCCAAAAAGGTCATCATTGATTCTGCACTATGAGCTCCACAGAAAAAAAAAGAGTTTCATCAAGAAACTCACAGAAGTCTTCATTTGATTGCTAGGCCTACTTATTAGAGAATATTATACCTTTCTTCAAGCCCGAAATCTTGAATATTGCGCTTGGTTTTTCATTGGTGATATACCCCAAGAATCGCCAGGCAACACCCTCTGACGATGGCCAACTAAAGTGAATAGCACCACCCATGCCATCCGGAAAAGGCATTGTACCAGTCAAGAAGACTACAATATGGTTGACGGTATCTGCATTCTCAATGTTGAAGACAAAGTGAGTTGGATCAACTTGTTGCATATCCGTCTGAACCTGCATAAAAAAGACACGACAAACAAAAAGTGATGATTGGGAAGAATATTTGACAGCACACGTGAGGCAAAAAAAGCCACTCTGAATGCCTCAGTGAATGCCTCGGTGCATATGTTGGTTTCAATTACAAGTAATTGATTAGCAATATCATGCAATCATGTTGTGCAATTAGCTGTTCCTGTACAAAATCTAGGACTTAAGGCCTACTTCCTGTTTTCAAAATAATCCTTTACAGCCATGAATTAGAAAAAAAATGGATTCCCTGATTGCAGAACTACATGTATCGGTGAATCATGCAAAAAGATCATTCAACCTGATAATTGAGCAACGGTAGGCTATGCTGTATGTACAATGTACATGTACCAAAAAGGTATGCTCGCAGTCTTTTAAATTCCACCACTTTACATTAAAAAACAGAATAATTAAAGATACAGGAAAAATTGATGCTTGCCCTAACATGTCTTAAGAATGATTGCTGCCATGGATGATTGTAACATTTTTGGGTTAAAATACATGTACATCATGTCAGTTTGACAGTTGTGTCTGAGTGGCAGACATAAATCCATTTTTTTTCTGTCCAAACTTGAACACGAACACGGGAGTTGGGTTGGCGTAATGGTTCTTTCCTAACCTTTCACCTCTGCGGTCTGGGTTCGAATCCTTGCCCAGTCCACATGTGAATTGGGTTTTCAGTCCCTACATGATTCTGTGGGTTTTACCCAGAATATTCCTCTGGGGTTTTCCTCCCACCTCTAAAACTGCAACTGCTTCTCATTGTCTCTTCTCTACAGGTTTCCTCAGGCTTACGAGCTACATGTACAGTGCCTGGGGCGTTTTTGAGGAATCCTTGGTGTCATTACCAGAAATGAATAATAATAATAACGTTTCTTCAATTCTTGAGTAAAGTGGGTTTGTTTTTTTGAATTTCACAAATCCAAAAATGTGTTTGTTTCCTACATACCACCTACATGTAGGCCTATTTTAAGTTGCTGAAATTAAAGTGTATAGTGAGGCCTAGTAAGTAATGATTTATCCCCAGATGGACTGTGGGGTCCGATGTGGGAGCGGGGAAGACATTGGACCCCACATTTCTGGGGGTAGTAATGACTGTCATCATTTGTGGTCATCATTCATATGATCATTCATTGCAGGTACATGTATCAAGCATCAAAGAAAAACCGTCTGAAATATTGTTTACTTCTAATAATTTTTGGACACATTGGTACATGTACTTGTCGTTATGGTCTTACGGCCGCAGGTACATGTACGTATTCACATGTACATCTCCAACAGCTACATGTACATGATCGTGTGTACGCGTACGTATATCGGGGAATATCGCATCACGTGAAGGTGAATGTAATACACGTCTTCACGTTCATCGTTGTCACTTGCATTATGCGTCATCATGACATTGCAAAGGCAAAGAAAATTACGATTCTCACCAGACGACCCGCAACCAAGCAGCCAAACATGATTCCACTTTAAGCAGATATTCAACTTTCCAAGTGAATGTAGTTCATACCACAGTTTTTACATCTTTGACAAGGAAACAGAGCTGTCACTGTGTAGTGTGGCACTCGTTGATAAACAAAAGTACATGTGACAACTGACAGGTATCCTGACTCCGTTGTACGCAGAGTTATATGCATTTTGTGTTTGACTACCACCAGACTACATTGGCGGCGAGAGCGGTAGTCAGACTTCACACAAACTTGCACAAAATTGGCCTAGAACCTAGATAAGAATAAAAACAGCCATCCCTTTTGTCTTTTTCTTGATTTTTTCGTACTTTTTGTACGTTTGTCATCATTCAGGTACGGAGCTAACGCATTAAATATGAAACTAATAAATAACTAGTTGAAGCTGAAAATGTAGACTAACGTCAGGATTCGGAGGTTAAGAAATAAAGTGATCGTGCATTGCACAGTCCGATTGTGCCAAAGGGCCTACATGTACATGTAGTGACGAGGATTTCAACACGTTGGTCGTCTGTAGGTAAGTTTGTGCATGGAACTGTTTACAAATGGAATGATTCTATGGTTCTGATGGGTCTTGTAGAATGGTAGAATAATGTGTGTGGGGGGGGGTACTTCCAGAACTAACAGTGTAAGGTTTTTACAGTTCTGGATGTAAGACTAAGAGTCTGGAAGGAAGCCAAAGAAACCATGGAGGAAAGAACATGAAGAAACAAGATAATGATAATAATAAAAGAGATACCTTAATTCACATTCCTCCGTGACAGTTTTGTGAGCTACATGTACATGTACGTTGTCTCGGGTCACAAGAGGGTGTTATGCATACAACACTTGGCCAGTTTGTTTCACGTGGATCTGAATCATGATCAGTGATCCCAAAGCTGGCTACTGGTATCAATGTGACTGGCATTACATCTACTGTAGGTGGCGGGTTCTGTGTCACTGTCAGTGAACAAGCATCGGATCACTGATGTGAAACAAACAGGCCCTAGGCTATGGCCTTGGTCCCAACTCAACTTGGGGTTGGGGCTGTGGCCATAGTTGGGGCATGCACGGTGGCGTGGGGGCGTAAATGTACATGTATTAATCTACTGGTAGGTTCATGGGAGCAAGCAGGGTTAGCAACATTATGGCCTCATTAATCATGGCTGTTAACCATTCGTCATTTTTATAGATTGCAAAGCCAAACCAAGGACGACCTGAAAAGTCACTGTTACCATCATGAGGCTGCCCAAAGTGACGAAGCCAAGATTTTTTATTCTGTGGGGTGTGGGTGTGGTCATCTTGTTCCTAATCACCTGGAAGTCTTTTTTTAGATCTGGTAAGTACATGTGGGATTACCATTGGTGGACCCACAGATGTCTCAAAAAGCATGAAGGTGGAATGGTGAAAAAAAAAGATGATTTGGGGGAACATTTTGTTTCCCTCTCAAAAAGCTTGTGAAAAGCCCCAAATTTTGCCTACCCCTAAGAAAGGGCATACTGGATAAACTTTACTTACACAGAAAGGAATTTCACCTGTTGGTGGCCCCTAGAAAAAAATAATTGGGGCCCTTGAAAATGGGGTTTTGGAAATGTGAGAAAAAATTGTTTGATACTAGTACTGATTTTAAAAAGGCTAAATTGTTGATCCACGAAGTTTCTAGCAGTCTCAGCAAAGTCACTGAGGTCACCACAATTCAGGTGCTTACAAACCTTGTATTGAGTTGGAAGAGTTGAACTTCAGCTTTGTGGAAAAGTACACATCTCTGTGTAAATTTTTATTATGATTTGATTCAAAAGGAACAAGTGTGCAGAGTCGACTGTATGTTGCTAACAAGCAGAAATCATCTTATGCTGCCAACATACCTGATCTCTTGAATGCTAAGGCTGATGATGACTATCATGCCGTGCGGCCCCCTTCCTCCATTGTGGATGCAATAAAACCAAAGATGGCCGATCCCCAAGATCATGACTTAGAAAAACCAGAGGCTGATTTAATTCCCTCTCATGATGATGATGACAGCTCTGAGTCTTATACTCAGATCTCAAACCAGTTGGATCCTGTCTCCTTCTTAGCTGTACCTCATCAAAATGTGGAGAATGATGGAAGGTTTTCCAGTAAAGAAGGACAGGAAGACCAAGACTCCTATTCTCAATCGTCAGATTACTCATCACAAGATGAACAGAATGACGCAAATGACTTGAAAAAAGACAAGCCTGCCAAGATGGGACTGTTTGAAGAAGATAACAACTTTCCATATCCCCCAAAATCCCCCCTTCATGGTGGAGAGAGATACAAAGTTGCTATGGTAACAGCAAAGACTAATAAACAAGGGTTATCAGAGAATGTAAAAACTAATGAGATGGTGGGACAGCAGGTTAATCCTCTTAAAATCTCTCAGTATGCACAGGGTAATGCAGTTGATCAGCTTAACAAAGGACAATCTCATGTTGTGCCTCATGTCAACAAAGTAGCTCATAAAGGATTGGCAAATGTGGTTGCCATGGATACAGAAGAGTCTTTAGAGACTGACCTGCATGATGAAGGCCACGTAAAAGTGTCTCTCGTCACTGATTTTCCCAACAAAGCTCTCATTCTTCATCCAGTTATAAATATTTCTCTGGATGAGCATGATAAAGTTCAGAGACAAAATCATCCAATCAGTGTGCATCCCGAAGAGAAGACAAATATGGTTGCTATGACAGCAACTCAGGCAAAGGATGTCCCTCTCATTAATAAAAAGCCAATCAACCGATGGACTCCATTTGTAGAGACTGAAGATCCACTGCTTGAAGAAGAACAAAAACAAAAAGATGTTCCTGCCATCCAACCTGATGGAGGAAAGATAGATGGAGTTGCTATGGAAACAGTTGTGCACAAGGAAGACGGCATCACCCGTCTGCATAAAAAAGTGCCTCTTAAAAAGATTAGAGTTCATAATGTAGAACCGGGGAACGCAGAATTCCCAAGACAGGATGAAACCCATCTCTTAAACAATGAAGATCCTGGAAGAGGCAACGCCAGAGTCTTACCTGTTCAGGAAACATCAAGGTCTGCCCAGTCATATCGCCATGGTGATATCAGACTTGCCAACTCTGCAGTTGTAGACTCTAAAAATTCCAATGTGATGCTAAATCAGGCTGCCCATGATGACAACACTGCTGACAGAAATCCTACGATCATCTTGTCCAGACAGACTGCCTACCCTGCCGAAAGACTGAAACCACCCATTGTATCTCAACCAGCTAACAGTTTGGAGTTGCAACAACCAAAGCTTGACTCATCTGGAGAAATACAAGGACATAGATCTGCACAAACAAGGAAGGTACATGTATGTCCATATTTGAAGACTCTGTTCAGAACAGGTTTGCTGTTGAGTCATTAGCATACTCAGTATGCAGAACATGTGACGCTTCTTGTTGATATTTAACGAAGCAGTTCCTTAAATTTTCCTTCCCTGTAGTTTTTTGTTTTTATTCTTTATTTAAACTACACCAGAAATATTGAAGCCTTTTAAGATTTGCATCAGCAGAGCAGTTTCCATGTTGAAAAGTCCAAGCAATTGCCACAATTTGAGACATCCCTTTGCAAAGACAAGAAGGTCGTTCAAAAATTAAAAAAATTCAGTGGTCAGGTGGCCCGGGGTAAAAAGTACAGAAATTTCTATTTACCAAGCTGATTGTCTTATTTCTAGGTCATTCCACCTGAGGAGGAAACAGAAGAGGAGTTTTTACAGCGCATGGAAGATGTGCAGCAGGAACGACACGATAGAGTCCGACAAAAATGCCAAAGTAAATACAATCTAACACTGTTAGACTTCCAACAAGATCGTCAAGAGATACTCTCTTGGAAGAAGTATTATGAGCATGCATATGCTAACAACGATCATCAATTCATTATTTGCCGAGTACTGAAAGCTGCTTCATTCAGTTGGCGTAAAGTCATGATTTCTCTCTATGCTAAGGGCAGTGCAGCATTTCGGCAATCACAGAAGATGGGAGACTATCCCATGATGAACTATGAGGATGAAACTTTTATATCTAAGCTACAGAACTATAAGAAGATTTTGTTTGTGCGTGAACCCTTTGCACGTTTATTGTCAGCTTACCGGGATAAATACGTTGAACTTCGTCACTTCCCGTATTATCAGCCTATTGGTATGTCTATCATACAGAAGTATAGAAAGAATCCTACACAGATGGAAATTCGGTCAGGGAGACCGACATTTGAAGAATTCACAAAATGGGTGATAAATGAAGAAGTCCCTGGAGGAGATTATCACTGGCGCCCACTATTTAACTGGTACCACCCCTGCCAGATGTGGTATGATTTCATTGGTAAGGTGGAAACAGCTGCAGAAGATGCAAGGTACATCTTCAAGATGATTGGAATTGATAAATTGGAAACATTTCCATCAACTGAGACCCATCATAAATTCAGCTCCAGTCCAGATGTTCTGGAGGAATTTTACTCCCAACTTTCACCTGATCTGTTGCCACAACTTATCAACCGATACAAACAGGAATTTGAATTGTTTGATTATCCTATACCACAGAAAATGAGTGATATTTGGACTAGAATGTAAAATGTCCTTCATGAAAGAAGGCAAGATGTCGGAAACTAGATGGTTTAACTGTCCCATTTTTATGAATGAAGAGTGGCAAGTCAACTCAGTCGAATGACTAAATTGGCATTATTAGTTATCACGCAAATGCGAGTGGAACATAGACTAATGTAGTCATACATGTACGGGACAAAGACGCACTATATTATTCTGTGTTCCATAATCGTGAGTGTAATAACGAATTTATCTTCAAGCAAACTTGTCACACTGTAAAGATGTTACAGGGCTGATGTGCGCAAACACGCTACCTTTGAATTTAAAGTAACACTTGCAGTTATGCATTTTGCTTTTAGCATAAAAATAGTGCAATGCATTGAGTTAGAACAGTGCATTACGCAGGGTTGATATGAACCAGGTAATACAGTTAAATATATCACACTGTTAGTTGCCATGGATCGACCAATCAGAACTGAGAATTCAAGTTTGCCTGAAGATACATGTAAAGACGCATATAGAGCACTCAGTCTTCATTAGTGATAACTTCACGTTGAAGTTTGTTGGCTGATTTATATGAGGAGATGGTTCATAGCATCATTAGTATTCAGATGTACCTAAATTTATTTTTAACAAATTGAAAACAGGTTAAGTGCAATGTACTTGATCAGTGAATGAAAAGTAACCAGCACACTTCTAAATCTTCTGAGTACACACATGTAGCAAATGCATGAAATTCAGTCTTTTTAGAGACTTCCAGTGACTTTAGTTTTCTTTATACAGATTGCTTTTTCATCATGTCCTCGTTGCCGGTACAGTATATGTGAAAGTTTTCATGTGGGTAGAAGCAGCGCTCATTGTACATGTACAGTGTACAAAGCCCTCAAGCTATGTGTACAAGATACATATCCATGTTATTTCAAGTTCTAATTTAAGCTGTGATACATGTACTTACATAGTTTTTATTTCCTAATGCAATCAGGGTAAATTAAAAAACTTGTCACAGTATTGAATGGAAAAAAAATTAATATTTAACTCAGTCCCATGGGTTCAGGTTATCAGAATGAGTGTTGTGGTGGCAAGTGAAAACCAGATTGTTTCTATTTATGCTGAAGTAAGTACAGTATTAAGTGAAAATTATTTGAAGGAAATACTTTGCATAGTTCAAACATCACATGACTGAGAGAAAACCACATTTTTAAATATGCATTTACCTATTTTAAAAGCAGGTGTTTTTACACATTGCCATCTTTGCCATAATATTTTCTTGCCCATTTAATTTTTCTAAACTGTTATCATAGAGCTATAATTAGTTCAATGAATGTTTACTTATCGAGTATTATATCTCATTTTTTAATTTTAGTAGTACATGTATTATTTATTGTGGAGGCTAGTCTTAATCTCAATTTTAGAACTCTCTTTTTACAGTTTTAATGTAACACATGTTTTATCAAGTACAGAATCTGTTTTCATGTATAGTAGATTGTTAAAAGTAGTTCTTCCACTTATTTGTTAAACATTTATGTCAAGTTTCCCGTCGTATCAGTATTGGGTTTTAATTGGAAATTGCATGGGCATTTTGCCAAGCTTTTTAACAGCCAAAGAAGAAACCGAAAATAAATCTAAAAACTTAGAGCATGGTGCTGAAAATTCAAAATCAATAAAAAGGCCAAGATTTTGAATGTGTCATTTAATTGACTTTCTGTCAAGTCTCTAGACGCGCAAGTACAGAAGGAAGAACCACCCGCAGATATTAGATGGTCAAATATTACTGCCAACGTCTCTGTTCTTGGAGGCTTGTATAATTATAACGTAGAGTTGTTTGTTTATGTCCCGTTAACGCATCTATACTCATTTGGTAGTACATCTCCTTTTGTTATTGGGTCATCATCTTTGGGGCACTCAGTTTGGTAACGAGAGTGCGCGTAGTGCGGCCGCCTATCGTTGCGCGTCTTACGTTCATTTTTTCTAGTGCGTATTTGACGCACATTTCATTCATAAAAGAGCACGCGTGGAAACAAGGGAACAAACATACCTTTGTCTGCGGGACATTTTAAGAGTGATCGCTAGCGCTAACGGTCTCGAAATTGAATTTCCTTGTGCTTTGCTACTAGCCCAGCCATTAATAAAGATTAACAATAAGGCATAATAAAGAACAAAATTCGGCGGAGTTGGCCCTGAACAGGCAAGGTTCTTTGCGATAAAATGACGTCATCAGTGCCCCTACTTGCTGAAATCGTTTCGGATGAATATCTTAGGAGGCAATCTCCATCTAAACTTGTAAGTAGTTTTTATGCACATTCTCGTTTTTATACTGATTTTTTTTTCCATTTCGGTGAAAAAGAAAACTCGAGGAACGCAATGATAATATAAGTATCGTAAAATATAAATGTGAAAGCGTAATTTCCCTTACCATGCTAACTGTCGTTCTCGGCCATTGTTACTTTTCTTTACTGGATTTAATTTCGCTCAGTGCTCAAATAAAGCTCTATATCCTTTGATCAGACAAGTAGAGGGGAAGATAGGCCGAATAGCCTACTAAATGTGTAATTTCGGGAAGGATGAAATAAAATACTGAAATAATCAAAGGGCCCACTTTTTGTGAGCTCTTGGGATAATTGTTCTGCGATACGGTAGGCTTTCTTTTCTTTTATATGTTTTAAATTGTAATTTCTATTCAGTGCTTCTGCTGCAAATGAGCACTCTTTAAGTTCAAACGTTACATCAGACGACTTGTACCTTTTTGTTTTGTCTTGTTTCCGGAATTATTCCAAGTAGCAGAGGGTTTTGTCACTATACAAAACAAGAACTCAAAAAGACTAGCTTTGTTCATCCTTTATTTTCATCAGACTACTACCTTTTCGAACCATCTCAACGTGTCGTCAGTGTCAACGAGTGGACGACCAGACAACAAGCAGCCAGCGAACACGTCTCTTGCTCTGAACTGCTCACCAGTGCAAAACGAACCCACGACAGCCACCTCTGCAAGTATTTACGCTAAAGTGTTTCCTGAGGTTGATCGTGATTTACCAACACTTCAAGAACAACAGTTGTCATCAGTGACAAGTAAGTGGTCTTTAAAAAGAAGTTCAATTTTTTTGGAAAGTATATAGGCCCCACATCACAGTTAAGTTTAATGTAATGAATCAAAAACTTCCCGTCGTTTCCATCTTAGGAAAAGATGCTCTTGCCATATAAAGTTAGCACCTTATAAAGCAGGAAAGTGGGCGGTGCTGTCAAGATATCGGTTGGTTAGGATTAAATGCACACAAGTAAAGGGTCCTGTCCACGATGTTTTGTGCTTGAGCTAATCTGTAGGCTGATATTCACTTTCCCCATTTCGATGAAGTCTGCCCTTAAGATACAAATATGGATTGCTGTACTAGGGACAGAAAAGATCTTTGAGGAATGGGGTCGATACGGATGTACAAGTGAGAAGTACATGTGATAGTCACAGAATGTACTTTGCTGTCAGAAATATGATTAAGGCTTATTTCAAATACAAGCAATTAAGGCTGGCCTAACCGAGTGGGCGTGGGTAACCCCCCCCTTTCCAAGTTGGGTATCCCATCACACACTATATTATATACCCTCTCAGAAATCTAAGAAATACGTCGCCGTCCATTAACATATCACCATACCACTGTACCATATTTCTCTTGACTTCTAGATGCGACAAAGGATACTCCTGCAGAAAGTCTTCCAAAAAGTGAAAGCAACGCCACTGTGGGGTCAGAAAAACAAGACCAACCAAGACAGATCATCTCCAAGCAGGTAGAATTCGACTTGGCCTCAGTACTCTTTGCGCCTTGCAACACGGCTGCGTCATCAGCCAAGAATAAAAAGAAACATAAAAAACGGTCCCTGGGTCGCTCACAATCTTATGAAGAGATAGGTACGAAATCACATGAGACTTCGGATTTGAAAACTGGAAAAAGAGTGACGTTCAAAGAAGAAATGGTTGAGATCCGAGAAGCTGTTGAAAATGATAAAGATTCTACAATAGGAAAAGGCAAGAATTACCTTTTTACTGGGGAAGATGGGGACGACGATAATTTTTACAACAATGATCTTGAGCTGAGTATTAATGATGGTGCATCCAATTCTTCGCACGTCAATCCAAATACAAATAGACAATCCGAGATTACATCAAACGAAAGCGACGTAAAAACGTCAGTGGTACCAAGAGAACCTCAAGAGAAACAGACGGATGTGAGAGTAACGGAGAACAATATTCCCGCGTTGAGGAACATGACCCCCTTCTCAGAGACAGAAATTATGCAGCACGCAAGTAAAAACCAAGGTGTTGTGGTTTGTATGGCAATGGAGTCAGGTGTACAGAGAGATGAAACATTTTCTAGGAAACAGGAAAAGATATCCAAAGATGTTCTCCCAGTCTTGAGATCTGAAGAAATACAGGCTCGGTGTGTTCCAAAGGACAATACCCAAGGTCCGGCAGTAAACATGGCAACAGATTCTAATGGACACAAAGCAGTATCAGTCGATAAGGAAACTGAGGAGAAATGTCAAGCTAACCAGAACCGAACCAAACCAAATCAGAACCAAACGACTTCAGAAACTACAGAAATCCCTTTTGTCAACCCTAATGATTTTACTGAGCCTTGGACTAGTACAACAAAGAATGTGGAAGGACAAACGGAACAACATGTGTCTGACTATGACGATGATGAACCCAATCTCATTATTGATGAATCCCCTGTAACACAACAGCACAAGGATTGCGCTAAAACTGTGGTCAACATCATAAAACCAGCCCAGCCTCAAGATAACATGCCATCAGTACACAAAACTAATGTGGGTAATCAAACAAGAAAGCCACACGAAGGAAACGTTATCCAACAAGACAGCCGTTTGCTGGTTGATACTTCAAAGAAACCAGAAAATGACAGCCGAATTAAGGTCCATCTAGTCAACTCTGCAGAGGCATCGAAGCAAACTTCTTCCGTCTCCGGCACTCTGCTCTCAGGCTTTGTCAGTGAATATTCACAAAGAACCACAGCTTCATGTTCGGTAAATGATGCGCATCCATCATTAACTATCAACGGTTCCTCACCTACAAGTATGACAACAGAATTTACGAATGCTTGTACACCTGCGCTTGAAGGCAGGCAGGGTTCAACTGGAGAAGAAATCAGTGACTTGGCAGTAACTAGATTGAGTGATACAAACGTCAAATCACGCCCTTCTGTCAATCTTGAGAACACCCCCAGCACTTACTCCACCATTTATACTACCAATGAATTATTCCCCACTGGATCGATTACAAACCGTCTTCTCTCGCCATCTTATTTTCAAAGAAGTGCAGTCAGCGCCACGCAAGGTTCTCACGGGTATCACTGTCTGGCTTCGAACCCACGTTTAACTTCAAACATTCCTTATTTCACAGGTCTTAGCCATGTGTCACTGAATACCCAAAACAAACCAGACCACATCGAAACATTATTTCCAACGCAAGGAACACATACGCAAGTTGTGTGGCCTAGAAATAATTCACCCAGGGCTCCCCGGCCGCCGATGAAACAATCAGGTACCTGGAAATCAAGAGGTTACCAAACTCACGCAACGTCAGCCATTCGGTACCAGCCAGTCTTGCTTCCATCATGTCATCAGATTGTGCCTAACAGATATGTTACAGGGGCAACGGGACACCAAGTAAGCCCCCGAAACTGGCCGAGTCAAGTTGTGAGGATTTTACAACCGTTGCCGGTGATGTCTGAAAACAACCAGCCTGTTAGGTATATAATTCACAAAGACGCTGCTCCAACGGCCTCTGCATCACCACCATTACTACCAACGCCTTCAACACCTGCAGTTACATCTCTCCACCAACATGCACCTGTACAGCAGCTTATCATACATCAGCCAATGATGACAACAGCTCCGGGTCAACAGGTGTACCAGCAGATAAGTCCTAATGTCACGTTTCCTCAAAATCCGTCATTACCAATTCCTGCTCCATCAACATTTCCACAAAATCAACCACCATCCCCACCGCCACCTCCTCCTCCGTCGACATCAAAGCAGTCTCCTTGTGTAAGAGTGATACCACACCACACATCCTCTGAGAGAGATTCCACTTCAAACGATTCAGTCTCGAGATCCAATCCTGCTCCAATCATTCCAAATGGTACACTTTTCATCCAAACTCCTAAAGGACTAGTTCAACTACAGGGGCAATATGGACATAACAGGAAACCATCTGCCAGCGGTTCATCCCGTCAGCACAAACTAACAAAACCTACGGATGGCAAAGTCGCAGCCTCTACCAGTCAGGATCGTGGGGCTTCGAATGTTGCTTCTGTACCAATACGTCCTATTTTTTCCAGAGTCAACAAGCACCTGCATTCTGGAGCTCAAACACCCAAAGCTACGACTGTCCATATGAAACCTGGTCAAACTACGGGGATAAGACTGCCGTATCAAATGCTCTCACAAAAACAGCTGCTTTGCCTGACGAACAAAACTACATCACAAGAACAAAAGAATCAAGAAGAGGTTGAATATGGAAAAGGCTCAGAGAAGATCGTCGTCAATAAATCTGGAAAGAGCATCACAGAGAAAAACCAACAGCGTAACAGTGAGAAGACAAATGTTGCCGATGAAATATTTACAAAACGTCTTGCTGTTCAGAGTGCTCAATCCTTAAAAGGGGTGGCAGACGAAGATGCAATGGCAGCAGGTTTGATCCAAGAAGAACGGGAAAACGACAGGAGAACTGGAGGACATACACGAAATGAGGCTTTAAGAGATGACAAAGAACCTTTTCGGCATGCTGCACTCAGCAAGAACACAAGCCCCGATCCTCGGAAAAAGTTGCTGTATCGACCTGGCGCTGACACGGGGTCCTTCTCAAAAGGTCGATATGTGAAATTCCTGGACAGTTCAGTAACTGTGAATTGCATCTATGTTCCCGAAAAAACCCAATCAGACCAGAGGAGAGAAAATGACTCACAAGTTACATCGAGAAGAGTTGAATTGAGTCCTTCATCGAAGACAGTATGTTTGGATGATTCGGACACGGCTCTAAGTGACAAAGATGGGGATAGCGAGGACAACCCAAGTAGGAAGCAATCTTTGAACAGCCTTGACACTTTGTCTTCAGACGACACGAGTCACGCTGAGGATTCCGCTGAAAACAAAAGTCCGTCTGATGACAAGGATGAATGGCGACCATCCGTACCAGTAAAAGCACCATCCAAATGTACAAGAAGGTTCAGAAACCCCTTCACCGGTGGTTTATCAAAGATAAACATTCGGACATCTAGACGAAGTTCAGGAGATGCAAGAGGACTGTCACAATCAGAGAGTGTAAAATGTGCTACGAAACTTGACAGGAGACACAATGATGAGACATACGCACCACAGACTGCACATCAAAGGTATGCTCTCAGACGAAGAGGAAGGAAAGATTCCCGGTACCTACCTCAGATTTCTACCAATGACGAATCGTCCTCACCTGAGGATGTACATCTACAGAAACCAATCTCTAGTTCACAAACCAAGGAGGAAAACTTCATAACTGATGAAAGCAACAGAAGAAAGATTACAAATCTTTCCGTCCATGAGTCCTCTTTGTGTTCAACTGCTTCGTCCACGCCACCTTTCAAAGAGGATTGTACTCTGAACAGTCCTCTTGGTGATGAGAAGCAATCTAACAATACACCAGTCAATGAAATGGCAAAGAAGAAATATTCCACTGATGCTAAACGCAGTAAAGAAATATCTGAAAGCAAGCCAAGTAGTCCGTATAAAAGGCGTCATTTAAGATCATCTATAAGTCAAAGTAGTGACTCTGATACAGTTTCGTCCAAATATTTAAAGAGAGTAAGTTTTGGCGACAGTGAGAGTTCTGCATGCCCTGAAAATATGGAGGTCCCATGTCGATTGGCAAGAAGAAATCTGAGACGTAAGCAATCTGGGGGGCACCCGTCAAACCATGCCCCTCTGTGGCAGAAGGTCTTAAGAATGTTGGGACTGAAGAAGAAAAGAAAGCCTGCTCGTGAAGCGCCCCCTGGAGGAATGCCTTGGCACAGACGAAGGAGTTCATCAGTAGTCCTGGTCGAGTCTCTCACTGAATCAGCAAAGCAGCTTGACAGAAGCAAAGATGACACGAATGATGCTGAAAGAGAGAAAAAATCAAATATCAAAGCTATGAGTTTACAACCGAAGGCAAAAAGTGGGAAGAAATGGCAAACTCCAAATAGAGAAAGAAAAAATGTAAATAAAGATTCTGACGGTAAACCAGCCATGAAAAAGAAAGGAAAACAAAAAGCAGGCAAAAAGCAGGTGAAGAGACGTAAGCTCGTGAGAAAATCTAAAATTTCGCCTCAGAGCTTGACTGATACAAGCCTGACATCAATCGACCTTGATGCTAGAAGAAAGACGAGGTCGACAACGAGAAATTCGGCATCCAGCAGCAGTTGCCAAATAGATAGCTCTCCATCATCTTCCATCAGGCGAGGAAGGAGGACCCTCGCTTCTATTTCAGCCCAGACTTGGGAAGACTGTTATCGCTGCACCTACCTCAAATGGAAGGAGGCTGAAATAAGCCCAGAGAACCTAGCCAAGGATGAAGGATTTAAAGTGATGACAAACGAGCTTGGGACTCCAAGATCCGGACCTTCGAAGGATAAGAAGAATTTCCAGAAGCTTCTCATGTCCAAGTGGGAGGACATTGTTCAAAGTTCACAAACTGGATCACTAACAGAATGCGAGGCAATTAAAAGAGAGTCGCAAGTCAAGACAGAAGAGAGCATATTGGTGGAGACTCCACCGGTTGCTGCTGAGTTTAGTGTGTCCACTTCCGGTCTTCTTGAGAATGATATAACTAGTACGTGGATAACTGATACTACCGTTGATAAGGGTGATAAAAGTCTCATGTTTGGAAATGGAATTGAACGTCAAGACGTCGACATTGAAGCCAAATGGATGAAGAACGACATTGGAAACACAGAACCTAGTGAAACGTTTTCCTCTGATGAAGCTTCTCAACAAAAATGTGACTCTGATTCCTATGGAATGCCTCCAGTGCTGAGTCCGGTTCAAGACTTGACTGGGGACTGCGTTAGCCGGAGGGGGCTATTGGGAGAGACATTTGATACACTTGAAAGTGCAAAAGCTGCAGGTTATATTGTGCCAGAATCATTGACAGAGGAGACACTTCGTTTGTTAGCTGAAGATGGAAGTATCGATTCTGATCTTACAGGTGTTCAAGCCTTTGCTCTCTTTATGCCTAGCATAGTTGAGGACTCGTATGATGACTCTACCTTTCTGTCAGAAACATCACATCTTAACGACAATGACGTTAGCTGTGACGGCGATGACGAAAATGAAGTGCCACCTGTCATCTCTTGTCATCGGCTGGACAACTTAAATTATGGAAGTGCCAATATTCAAAATGACAAAGAAGCAGGAGAGTTGGGTGTTGGCAGTACAGTTGTCGAAAAGTCAGATTTCTGTGAGTCTCCTGATTTCAACATTTCGATTTCAACTGTTGTGGAATCATCTAGGTGTGGATTTGTAGACAAACGGATCCCTAGCGATGCTGAGCAAAACATTATGTTTGAAGCAACAACAGCGTCTGCAACGCATAGGGACTGTTGCCCAGCAACAGATGAGATGATGCCAGCTGCGAGGCTTCCCCATAGCAACGAGGACTGTGCTGGTGGTAACTGCTGCACAGTCCTCCTGGAAACAGATACATCGACAGTTTCTCTTGAAGGAGGAGAGATTATTTAAGATGACATGAAGAGTGATGATAAAAGTTTAACTAAAGAATTTGTAACAACTAGTTTATACTGATGGTTACATGTTTAGTTTCAAGTGATTGAGTATTGTAAAAGAGTCTCATGTCAGAAAAAATAGTGTGTTTTTTTTCAAACCTGTTAGATAAATAATGCAATCATTTTGTAAATAAATTAATCTCATCACAGATAATGCTTGACGTCCAAATGAATGATGTACACATAATGGACATCATTTATCAGTTTGAATATTGTTTGGTAGTTGCTTTCATTGAATGTGTCCCACGTAGCCAAGCTAAAATTGCTGAGTTTTTGGCTCAACAAAAGTTACATAAATACGTGACACCAAAACATAATGTTATTTTAAGTGGAAGTAACGTTCTTTAAAATTTAATTTAAAAAAAAGGCAACCTGTCCAGGGCCAACTTTCACTCGCCACCTCTGGACACATGTACGTCATTATTTCACAATCCCGAGCAAGCATTCATGATAAGTTAGCATCGTTTGACATGTTTGAGATAACATATGAATGAAATGTGTATTGTAGATGCTTTAGAAGTATTGTCGCACGACTGAATGTTTGTGAGGAATCAATAAACGTACATATTTTTGTTAATCATAATTAATCCTTTCAGTAAACATTTCTGGCCGTGAAACCGTGGTGGAAGACGAGGGGGGTCTCCTTCCTTAAGAAACCTCGACAGTGTTGCCACCAGGCGGCTCCGGATTTCCCCCAATCCGGTCCCGCAAATTGTGATGGCATCATGGCGGACGTGGATCTTGGTCAAAAATAATTAATATGACGAAGTTACGCCAGAGAAGAACCAGGCGTAGAGGGAATGGACCAAAGTAAACGCAGCTGGTACTCCAGTAATTTGGAACAAATCAAGAACAATTCCTATTGTAAAATCTGCAACTCCCATCAAGTCAGCACTCCTATTTTTATTCTTTATTTTGAAGACCCTTTTGTTCAGACCAGTGTGACAAAAGTTAAAAGAAGCTCTGCAACTCTTCAGTACGCCAAGGCAGAAAAGGGAGAGAAGATGAAGTTACAAACAGGCCACTGATGGAAACAAGTATCGTTATAAACTTGTACAATCAACTAATAAAAGGCTGAGCATCCTTTAAGCCTCTGTTGTCTTTAGAAACAAATTCAGGCTTTCTTTAAAAAATACTTTATTTATCCTTTTAGCAAAAGAAAACACCATGGCATCGGGTCTTTCTCAAGATAAATTCTGGCCTCAGGCCAACTCATCATCCATTCACAAAAAAATAAGCACCCAGGCCAATCTCAACAAGGTCAACTATTGCCCGACTCCAAAATTAATGTCACATACAATTACTGACCCCTATTGGCAGTTTTCCTTGGCTAGGATTCATAGTAATCAATTAAATGACTTACAGCGACCAATGTGCTCTCCTTCTCAGATTGCAAGCTCCCGAGCTTCTCAATTAAAATTAAATGCTCCATTGCTCAAAAGATGCTTCACACATCTATAAACATTCACATTCACGAAAAGTTTCCCTGAATATTACACGTGAATATTTTTCACTGTCTAGAGGCGTCTCCATATGCGCGTCATCACACTTGCGCCAAGCGTTGCGTATCCGTCCGGGAGCGATTTTGACGGCCGAACGCAACGTACAGGTGTTATGATAATGGTTCGATATTGTGTCCGTGAAAGTGAGATGCATGGAATACGCAACGCAGCTTTAACTTGTGAATGAATAATAATTGAGTCAAGTAGGGACTGTAAACCCAATCCAAATATGGACCTGGCGGGGAATCGAACCTGGACCAAAGATGACCTAAGAAATGGAACACTAGTCTGTCAAATGTGCTTCATGGTAGTGTGCAAAACACCCTATAAAGAGCAACACTAAAGTCTTTTCCAAATCAAATTTCTGTCAAGAAATAAAAAAACAGAAATAATTTTAATTCACCATTTTATTTCAAACGTTGCAGCTCTTAAATTCTCCAAACGTGATGAATAGGCACGTACTGAAAGTTGTTACTGAATTTTAACCAACATGGAATGTGTGAACTGACGAACCGTTTTTATTTTGAAGTATACTCGATTCATGCAACTTTCCTGAAAACAATATTTGACGTCCATTCCTTCAATGAAATACAAACTATACAACTACACTGTACGTGTAGCAATTCAATCCATCAATGGAATAAGTCGGTTCTCCCTCTACAATTAACATTATTGTTGAATTAAATCAAATTTGCTTTGAGATAAAAAATGCCAGGAAGTACATGACGGGTCAAAATTTGAGTTCAGACAGAATTTAGCTAAATGTATTCACATGTTGAACTAAACATTCGCAAACCTGTTTCAGTTATTTGAATGAAATCGATGTAGAAACTTCAAAACGAATTCTCCAAAGATTGCATTTTAGGCAATAAAACTGGCATCACTAAGAGACAGATCTCCCCCAATTACTCATCGATGCAGCACCTGAAACCTTAATTGACAGATTTGAATGTACACACATTGTTCAAAATGCCAATGGTCAACTTTTCCAGGATGTGATTTAAAACTCATAACTAGGAGTTATGGGAATGAGTGTTGCTAGACTATTTCAAATGAGTGGGAGAGGCAACCACGCCAGTGAAAAAGTAGGAAGAAAATTGTTTCATACTATTTTTTTAACTGTAAAGGTTCAACATGTGGGTTAGGGGGAGGCTGGCAAGGGGTCCTTGGAATAACTGTGCAACACCAAGCTGTACGTGGCAAACACTCAACAACCTGTGACATCCTAAAGGTGGCCTAATTTTACTAACAGGTGAATTCCTTGATGAAAGTAATAAATGGGAGTGTGTCATAACCCTAACCCATCAAGCAGTGTTCATGTTTAAAAATTATGGAAGATACTATTTGTCTTTATTTAAGCAAACAACTATTGACGTCAGAGGTATGTCAGAGCAAACCTGCAACCGAAGTAAATCCCCAGTACGTAGAAACAGGTTATCCATCAAAATATCCAGTGACGTTTACAGCCTGTGACTGGTTCTCAAGGGAATTTGGGTTCACAATTTAATTTGGTCAACGACAATTTTCACTCAGTGCTTCCTACATTCGGGCACTCATTGTCAGTGTGGCCCTTAGTGTGGATGTGATGTTACCAGATCAAATTACACTTTCATCGCTACATTCAAGTCCAGTCGGCGAAGCACAGACATCTGTATGTTTAGCAATGTCTCAGTCTGTGGTGGTGGGCTTAGGATTTTGTTATTATTTAGTGTTTTCTAGAATGACAGCAATGCCCTGACCACCTCCGATACATGCTGATCCGACTGCATACTTGCCACCTGTACGCCTGCATAATAGTGATGGAGAGGGTAATTGAATACAGTAAGTGCAATGACAACAACATGTATACAAGAAATGTCGATGGGAGTTTTAATACCGCAGATGTAGATTGGGAACTCTGGTTTGATGATCTAACCCTTATCAATACACCAGCACAAGGGGAATTCTATTCCGCACTCAAACACATATTTCGGAACTTGAGATGTGAATTTTTGGGAAGACAAAACCGTGGCTGTCCGGGGGGGGGCACCCCCCAAAAAAGTTGAAAACTAACATTAGATACAAGCGAAAGAAATGTAATTAAAAACCAGCAAATTTGCTAACATAAATCCCCAAAATTTACCCCCTTTTGAATTAGAAGTTTATCAGTTTATTGTTGCAAAGTCCACTGCACCCCCCAACAAAAAATCATGGCGATGCCTACAGACCCAATACCCTATTGGTTGATGAGGTACATGATGTCACACACACATACCACCTGAATAAAATGCATGATGCCGGCAGAAATGAATCTAATCTTGGCAGGTTAATCTTCCACCCAGTCGAAACCAACTCACCTTAATTCATGGGTAAGATGTGCCGTGATGCGACTTCCTGATGCCCCAACAGGGTGTCCCAAAGCAACAGCGCCCCCATTGGTATTGGTTTTCTCCATGTCAAGTCCCAATTCTCTTTGTACAGACAGGACCTGTGCAGCAAATGCTTCATTCACCTAGGATTCAAGATAGATTGAGTCAAATTATGATCAGACTGGGTGGCTCAGTTGACAAAATGAGTTGCGTTGTTTGAGTGATCAAGTTTAGATTAAAAAAAAGAACTATTAACACTGCTTTGTCAACTGAATTGAAATTTTTTACCTCACAGAGGTCCATGTCTGCTAGTTGAAGGCCTGCTTTCTCCAGAGCTCGTCTGACTGCTGGTACAGGACCAATACCCATGATGGTTGGATCACAACCTGAAACATGGTAACTGACCAACCTTGCTAGAGGTGTCAGGTTGTGTTTAGTGACAGCCTCTTCACTTGCCAGAATTACTGCACCGGCTCCATCACAAATTCCCTACAAAGGAAAAGAAAGTATTGACCAATATCCTGACCATCTGATAAGATTGTTCAAAATTCACCAGGTGATTTGGGAGGTTTTGAAGAATTTCCCTGAAGGAAGGCAAAGCTTAAATTATGTTACTGAACAGGTGGGCACGATGGCCGAGGAATGTTGGAGTACAACAAATGCCAAACACATAAATTTATGAGAACCAATTAATGGTTATACTTAAAAGTAATCCATTGTGTGAATTTTGTCTGCAGAAGGCTTTGGTAGTTACACTGAACATCTTCAATTGATATCCTTTACTTGATAGCTTTATAAAGCTGGCTTTCAAAGTTTAGGGAACTGTTGACTGGTTTTAGTTCTCGGTGTAATTCTGACAACTCACCGAGGCATTCCCAGCACTGACAAGACCATCCTTCTGGAAAACAGGAGGAAGCTTGGCCAATGCTTCCATGCTTGTTTCTCGAGGATGTTCATCTGTATCTATCACCTTAACACCCTTCTTGGATTTCATCTCAATTGGAGCCATCTCATCCTTAAAACGACCCTCTTCATTGGCTGAAATTAAAATTATTATGTAAACAGCAAAGGTGACATGAGAGAAAGCTCTAATATGAATATCCAGACATTCAACTGATCTGTGCCTACAAACTCAGCTCTCTTTAAACATAATTCTTTGGAAGTTACACGCAGCTACACGTATGAACTACAAACATTGCAATCAGGCTATTTCATCCACCTACTACATGTTGACCTTCTACAATAAATAAAGTCTTAGAATTTTCAGCTTTACTGTTAAGAATGAGATGTTACCTACTGAATACTGAGTAACTTTTGAAATCTTTTCACTTTATGACAAGAACTTATCACGCAGGCTTACTGCTTTTATGTATACAGGCAGAGATTTCACACACACACCCAAGTGTGTATTTCCCTGCAACTGGGGACCCCCTATTGTTCCTCTTTTGTTTGTACTTTAACTTTTTTACAAGACCACCCATATGTTTTGTACACAGTTGTCAATCAGGGACCCTATGTCAATCGGGGACCTTATTGTCCTCTATTGTTCAGGGTCCCCGATTGAATGCAGAAACAAACTCACATACACAACTAGCCTACTTACACCACAGTTTCGTTTTAACATGGACTCTGATATTGATAAACAAGGTATAGTCATAAAAGAAATGGGAGCACACCTCTGACACATGAAACGTGGCGTCACGGTGATAGAATTTCTGCTGCTAATTTTTCAAGTTGTTTGGACAGGGATTACTGAAAAAAAATAAGAGGACACCATGACTGCCATTCCCTCTTTTGATTTTTTTACGTTATGTATGCATGCAATGGTGTGTTCTTCGTTACAAAAAAGAGCGTTGATAAACATTTATTAAACAACTAAATACCCACTTTCTAAGATGATTCGCAAGGCTTCTGCCTCAGGTTCAAGGGTTATATCTATATTAAGACATGTTTCATTTTTAGAAATACTGACAACCTTTTATCTCCGTCTCTAGTTTTTTTTTCAATTCCACTATTTCCTTTTTTTAACAGATGCCACACTGTTTTGCAATCGGCTTTTCAATTGCAGTTATTCTGGGTAACTCCATCAAGCTCAGAGCTGCCATTACTGAACCGGCTCCTGCTGACTCTGATAGTCATGGGTCTCAGGTGTGTCCAATGTGCTGCCAGGGTCCTGCTGGGACACCCGGCATTCCGGGCTTACCAGGAAATCAGGGTCAGTATGGACTGGCAGGGGCAAAGGGCGATGTTGGGGTCAAGGGTGAGAAGGGTGAGATTGGTGCAATTGGCGCTGTTGGGAACCCTGGCCCTAAAGGGGACGACGGAATGGGCCTGCCCGGTAAGGTAGGTCCCAGAGGTCCGCCTGGTTTAGTTGGAGCCATCGGGGAAGCGGGGGTGAAAGGTTCAAAGGGCGAGCCGGGGGAGACTCCAGATGACTCCTCCCACAGGGTAGCATTCACAGTTACGCGGAGAAGCCTCTCAGATACCTCTACGAGTCATGACACCCGTTTCCCCTTCGAGCAGGCCGAGACGCTTCTGCCGGGTACCAGCTTTGATCTTGAAACGGGTACATTTTCATGTAATGTGCCGGGCACCTACGTGTTCATGTTCTCCGTATGCAAATATGCCTCCAGCAGTCTCTACGTTCATCTTATGAAAAACGACGATCCGGTTGTCTCTGGGCGTAGCACTGATTCCATTTCCTATGAACAGGTGTCTGGGAGCGCAGTGCTGGTTCTGCAGCGAGGAGACTCAGTGTATTTGACCATGCGTGGTGAGGCGCTCAGTTATTCATCCCATCACTACACCTCATTCAGTGGTTTTCTAATTTACGCCCAATGAACAAGAGAAAGCATGAACTAAATACACACGATTGCGTGTCGTACTTTTTTGGAGAGCAAATGTTTAGTACAGAGACTGCAGTCTCTGCAGATTTTTGAAAGGCGTTACCTTCATAACGAAATTTATCAGCCGATTTTTATCAAAGCAGTTACCCACTGCTTCGTACTTTGTGCCTGAAATTTCATTTTGTCCCCTCGCAACCTGTTTGAGTTTTGTTTAGCGTTGTATTAACTGAAAGCAACATGAAAAAAATCATCTAAATTAACGTGAAAATCAATCGAAAATGTATCAACGAGTAAATGATGTCGCCATCATGACAAAATGTCATAATAGTGAACAATAGTAGTTCTGAGCTAATTCATGTCGATCAGAGCTTGTTTATTGTATATCAACAATCGTACTTTTGATGACGTCATCATGAGGTTATTTTTCCTTACAACAAACACGGATAATTTTACTGTTCCGGTCATTTTGCAATTTAGACCAAATAGGCGTCTCGGAGATTTGTCGCAAACAATGCTAAATGGAAACTGTTACGTTACTGTAAATTCATTGCCGTCATAAAAGTAAAAGAAAAAGAAAAAAAGGAAAACCTTAGTTGTGTCCCGCCATTCAGCAGGTCAACCACACGAACAGTGCGTGTACGTATTTTTTGCATTCGCGGTGACCTGTCCTGACGTGACCTGACCTGACTTGCAAGTGCACAACCAATGCACACTTTCACACCGGAGTTTTTTCTTGTTCTTTCTTGTGATAAGACACTATCTGGGCGCAGGCCGGGTACGGTCATGAATAATGCAACACACGACGTAAATATGAATAAAACAACGTGTGATGTAGTTTGAACCACACTGCGTTCTTGATAGTCTTGGGCCAAGACGGCAGAACACGATAGCGGACTCGATCGAGCATAATGCCGTGCGCGCCGATTTCATTGCGCCCTCTCCTGACTTCGTTTCACCAATCGACTGCTCGTTCTAGCGTCTTAGGAATCTCCTACAACTCGAGGCATGGCGTTTGTATGCAAAGTAGTAGTTTAATATAAATAGTAACAATTGACCCTAAGATGCAAAATACGATACAAAACAGACTGTGGGAGCGTTGGAGAGGGTTAGCATCAATAGTGTCAGCTTGTTATTTCTTCAGTTTTGATGTAGGAAGTCTTTTACAGGCTCACTTCCTCGTTCCTTGTTCCAATGCATCGACTTTGGCCATTATCGGTGACAGTACCGCTATTTTAGTAGTACATTCAGCGTGGCGTAGCAGCGCTTGAATATGCCGCGTGGTAGTTTATGAAGTGATGCAGGTCATTGATCCATATTAATTACATACAGACTCAGCTGGAAATTCCCAGGCGCTGATTGGTTCCTTCGGAAATCCGGAGGGAATGTAGAGAAAAGGTTAAACCGTTTGTAGGAGATTCCCAAGACGGTAGAGCAAGCAGTTGATTGGTGAAATGAAGCCACGAGAGGGCGGAATATAAATCGGCACGTGGCCTAATTTATGCTTGATCGAGTCAGCTATCGAGTTCAGACGTCTTGGCCCAAGACTACAATCTTGCTTGTACGGCTTGCCCATCATCAGAGTTACAATACATGCACTATTTAACAAAATACATTATGAATTTCGGAAGTTTTAAAATGACGTAATCTAGAAGTAGTAGTTGCCAGAATTTTGTGATTAATTATTTCATATAATCGTCAGGTCCATAATTTGTTAATTCGATTTTCATGGGATGGGTATCAACATTTTCTTATGTCATCCAATCAGACGATGTGTTACAATTAGAGCATGGTTACATCTTCTCTGAAAAAGACGAGAGGACAGATAAGAATACTTTTCTTGAATGCCCTGAAAGTGAAATTTAGTGGTGGTATTTCGAAATGGGAATCAACATTTGAGGCAAGTGACACTTCGACCAAAAGCTTTCTTATGAGGAGAGCGATTGTATATGAAATTAATAGGAAAAACCTAAACGAAGTTTCTATAGACTAGCATTCAGTACTTCTGTGCGTGTCATGTTTTGTTATATGTAATGTCCATAATGAATTATAGCTACAGAATGAGATATACTTTTGTGAGTGTGTGAAGAATTTTTCTTGCCAGTTTTATAGATACAAGTTATAGTTTGTAAAGGGTGCCTCTTACAGGATAATAAACTAGCTTTTGTTATAGAAATGTTTCAAAAGTCAGATGATGAATTGCAGGTTTTTTGTACAATTTAGTTTGTTATTTTTTGTCTTCGATTTTCAAATTGAAGCGCCAAATTGAATAGTGTCAAACGCAGTCAATAAATTCTCAGTAATGTCTTTTATCAAGTTGTTACATGTTCTTGTTTCTTACGGTATCTCACAGTTTGTAGACTTGTCTGTCGCACCGCCAAACTGCTTTAATCCCTTGGGAATTAATCTACCCGACATTGCCAAACTACAACTTGCCTTAAATTCCTCTGTTACTTGGGGCTTGAGTGAAGCAAAATAATAACTAATTAATAAGCAGGGACGAGTTGGGAAATGGAATGATGCTTGTTTTGATATCGATAAGTGAAACTATATGCATTCTTTCGCTTCATTTTGGAGGAGAAAACCGTCGAGCACCCTCTGCTGTATGGGGCTTGGCAGTGGTCTTGGAACTTTGTACCGGGTTTTAGTCGGACTTCCTTTCATCGTCTGAGAACAATCAGATGTCTGATTTGAATAATAGCAACATTTAATTGACGCCTTGGAGGCGACCCTCAGAGTTTATTTCTTAATTAAATCACATCAACAAATATAGGTCTAGCTATCATATAACTTGTATCCATAGTCCATATGAAGCAAGGCATGAAACGAAGAGGACCCCCTGCTTTGTGTTTCATTGGAATCTGAGGAATTCCTTTCAGACACTTACTTAGGGGGGATGAGTTAGGTAACATTACAGTCTAGCGTGTGTTTAGCGATTGGATATGGGGGAGGACCCCTCGGTCTCATTTCTTGCTAGATGTTCTCTCTGGTTAAAAGATCGAACTACCGCAAAAAAAAAGGAGGAAGTGCGGCAATAGGTGGCGCTGTTGCAGCTCTTGCAAAGAAGAAAAAACTGAGTTCGGGCGGCTTGTTCTTGTTTGTTCACGAACAGCTCGATTTGTTGTTCACGGGTCGGTCGCTCGAACGCCGGGAATGTACAACCGGTTCTTAGCGCTAGTAGTTATTTGTGGCAAGCAACATGCAACAAGGCAGCGTCCTTGTGCATTCTTCGAGAGTTAATGTTGGATAACTGGGCTAACTTCTTTTCCATTTAAAAAATTCATTTCTGTCAAGGAAAATTATTTATGTTAATTTTGAAAAAAAACATTTCCATTGTCTTCGGCTTTGTAAAGCCATATCGGTACTTTTTGCGGCTGTTCCAAATCAAATCTCAAGAGTTTTTCTGTGTGTTTGTGTAAAATCTTTACGAGGAGGTGGTGTGTGATCCTGTTCCGGACCACCCGAACTCGACCATTAATGATTGACGTGATTTTTTACAAACATTTTACGTTTCCCTAGAGGGCGCCATACTCAAAAGTGCACCCTGTTCGATGGACTCATGGGGGCGCTGCGGCCTGTAGGTTGATGTTGGCAATTACTGATCCAAAGGGGGCGCTACATAAAATTTGCCACCTCAACTATTATGCTCTATAGAGGGCGCCACTCATTTCGCCAACAGAGGGCGGTAAATATTGATTCAACAGAGGGCGGTGTATTTGTTTTCAATAGAGGGCACTATTGTTAGATGGTGGTGGTGGCGGCGGCATGCGCAAAATGGAAACAGGATATGATAAAACAGATGTTCATGAAGTTTGAAACATTCGCTGGCAAAGGCCTTCAGCAAAAGGTAGGCTACAATAAGCTCCCTAATTGTAAATTTAAAAAAAGGTTATTTACGGGATCACGCAAATACATTGTGTTCGTGAAAGTTTGCAGGATTTACTTACCTACCTACACGTGACGAAATAAATCATGAAATTTCAGTTTAATTCTTGGACAGGTTGGCATGGTTGGTTCACGTACGTGTAAATACAGGCACGTGTGAACATAGGCCTACACGCAGTGGCAGAAGTCCTATGATAGTAATCAATACACATATAGGCGCGGCATGTTTAGTCTAAGGCCATGATGAGAATGAATATTCCTGATTTCCGTCCACTGCCTGCATACCGCTAGCGAAAGCATCCTTCAAAAAATGTATCATGAGTTGATGTTTTAGTTTCCTTCCTTGGCCTACATCTGTACATGTGGCAGGCATGGTTATCTCTGGTAATTGATATGGTAGGCATTCAATATTAAAGTAGGCATGTAGGCCCGGCCTAATCTGTTTCCTTGGTCAAGCGTTATGTTGTGGTTCATGCATATGGTGAACATGGTGAACCATGGTGTCCATCATGGGTGACTATCCTCATGTCAGTGTACATGTACATGTGTAGCCGCCACGTTACTTTGTGGGACTTGCTTCCATTTGTGTTTACATGGGGTTGTCTGGTTGTAATGGCTATCAGTTTATTTTTGGAATCTATTCTACCCTTTGGCTTACATGGATGATTCATGCTTTTCATGACTGTACCCCACCAATGACGCTTATTCTACTTTTTCAATCAGAAATTTCCTTGTGACCAACCGTGAGGTATAAATATTGGTTCTTAGAGCTCCAGAAGACAGTGCTAATTGACGGTGGCTTTAGACCATAGGAGTATTACATATACACGTATGCCTAGAGAATAGTGTATAAAAAATTACGAAGTTAATGATGGTTTTTAGACTATGTATGTATATTGTAGGAGTATTGTTCTTGGTACCTACATGTACATGTATGTACTGTATGGTATGTCATACCTGTCATGCCTGTCAGAGCGTATTTTGAAAAACCTGAGGTCTCACTCACTCATCAATCGTCCATTTTCTTTCCAGCCATTGCACCATAGGTCACTATCAGGTCCACATGAACATGTATCGGTTCCATTATTTTCAGAGGTTGGGGGGTTCAACCTACCACAGCCCTTAGGCAGCTTGTGTCATATGCCCTGCTGGTATCAGTCCAGCCACACAGACATGACAGAGTCTACATGTTATGCATGTACTTGTAGGTCGCTCATGCGATAAAAACAGGATTTCACTGAAAATAGTCCAACTGACTGGTCGACAATTGACCGAGTGAATACCTCACATTTTTCACTGCTAAATTAGACTTGATAGGACCTGTTGAGTGCTTTCAGATTGTAGCACGGTACTCAGAACATTACATGTTAGGTCACTGCTGGGAAAACTGATCGGCATCACCATATGAAATGCTTTCCTATTGTACACATACATGTTTATCTCGACTGACGTTGAGGATATCGAGTCATCCTGCCATTGCAAAATTGTAGCAATTTTTTTGAACATCTTAATTGAAAGGACGTTTTCTGGAATTACAAAAGTCTTTATAGAGGGTCTGCGTATGACGTCACATATAAGAGGGCATTTCTGTCTTTTTTTAGGATAGGCTGAAGTAAACCTTTTGTGCATTCATTGCCATTAAATCTAAATAACTAAACATCTACTCAGGGAGGGCGCCCGACCAAGGCCCTCTATAGGCCAAGTAACTTACATTAGCATTATAGCAGAGACCCCTAACATTGCGCAGTTGACTTTCACTTGACTTTCCTCATGCAGTGTTGTCAGACCTCTTGTTAAAAAAATTCAACTTCATACTACCACTGTAACCTTCACCCATCTTGTTCAACATTTGTGAACATTTTCAGAGTGATGAAATTTTGTCCATTGAAAATTCACAAACGTTGATGTCTGGGAACTGTGCAGGAATTCTACTAAGTGTTGCCTAATGTGCTGCACTTGAAAACATCTTGAAAAATCCTACATAATTTCAGAAGTTCTGTAAAGTCGATCAATTTTAATATATTGTTATTACCTCAGTAGACATACCTGAACAATTTTTTAAAAAAAATTATTGGTACATTTTTGGGTCCATTTTGAAAAGAGTTCATTCTGCACTTTTCAGCAAAAAAAGTTGAAAAATTGAGCCAAAATCAAAATTTCAATGGAACATTGTAGTGGGTGAGTAAAATCAGAAGTTTTGAATTGGATTAGTTGGAGTTTGATGAAATTTTACTTATAAAAAATGAAATTTGAGGTACATGTAAAATATTGCTCCTGCAAGGCACTGGAGGCAAAAACTCAAACTGCGTGAAAAGTATACAGTTTGGGTTGGTCTCTCTTTGAAAACTGTACATTTGGCAACTGACCTTGTCCGAATCATCTGGCCTAGGCTGACAGTAGTACATAAGTCCATGGCAAATGGCTGATGCCACTTCTTTAGGGCTTATAACTTAAATGGACTTTGCCTTAAAACCTCTTTTTGGGGGTACATTCAAAAGTTAGGTCGCCCAGAACAGAGGGATAATAATGCTGCCTTCTCTTTTATTTCTACCAGGTGTTAAAGGCGATAGCACCATGGTTGGTCCCCTGCCCGTGGGCTCATCTTCTGGCATCACTGCCCTTATAGAGTAAGGTGATAGCAGCGTGGTTGGTCCCCTGCCTTTGGGCTCATCTTCTGGCATCACTGCCCTAATAGAGTAAGGTGATAGCAGCGTGGTTGGTTCCCTGCCTGTGGGCTCATCTTCTGGCATCACTGCCCTAATAGAGTAAGGTGATAGCAGCGTGGTTGGTTCCCTGCCTGTGGGCTCATCTTCTGGCATCACTGGCCTGACAGACTAAGGCGATGGCACCATGGTTGGTCCCCTGCCTGT